GAACATTTCTTCTATAACTACCCAGCATAAGAAAAGAGTGGCAGCATACATTTAGTGATGAAAATTTTAATAGAGCCTTGTGGACGATCTCTCATCAGCTGTTTGCCTTTTAGATTAATTAAATGTGATATATGAATTGGGTGGCGATGCAATTCCTTTACTGAAGATTAATGGACCGTTTGATGAAGGAAATCTAGATGAATAAAATAGCTTTCTTCCCTTTATTCTTTTTTTCCTCGGTGGTCTGCGATTCTTTTCTGAGCCTTACCAATATGCATTTGGTTCTTTTTACCACATTATTAGTCAAGTTACAAACATGGGTGCCCAATAATTATTAGTCACATTACAGACATGAAAACTAATTATTGAACACCTAGACAATTCGCCTTTCTCAATCCATGCCTATTTAGTCGCAGCACTCATGTTTGTAGTTGGTTTATGTATCGTGTCACAAATTGTGATCCCAACTCTTATTCCTTTTATCCTGTTGCTGACGTATTTTTATCCATTTCATACATGCCACCCGGCCAAGGGTGTTACTTTCTCTTAGTCTCATCCATGATCTATTTTATCATCGCAATTTTGTCTTCGTGACCTAGTGAAATTTATCCTTAGGAAATTGCTTGCATGTGCTCAGGTATGCTTTATAATAAAATACGGTTTTAGTCTTATGAGCATGCAAGATGCAACTGGATTGTCAACAACATTAAAGCACCTCTTGCTCATAAGTTCAAGCATAGATGTTATTCTGATGTGCTGTTGCATTTTCGTGAATGACATTGTCGATTTGATTAGCCAAATGCAGATGTTGCTATTAGAGCCTCAATGGACTTCACTTGAGGTTGTCAATAGGCACGGTTTCATCAAGAAATCATCATTTTATCCTTGGAGTTGTTATCTTAAGAAAAAGCCTGTCTAAGATTTGGTATTTCTTTCAGATAGGTAGTCCCCTAAGAAAAACTTTAAAACCATATGTTTGTTAATTTTTATTTTATTTTGTTCTCGTCCATTTAGATGTATTTATTGAGTTCATGTAGGTCTCGTCCCTTGTATGAGCTTTCATGTGCGTGCTAGCTCTTTTCACTTCTCTTTAGAATGTGTTTTTTTGGGTGCGTGCGAGCTGTCATGTTTGTTTGATAATTCTTTATGTGCCACATTATCCTTGTAAATGTTATGTGCTTCGTGTTTGGAATTGATTTTAGTTCTTTCTTGGTTTATTCTTTCATTTGTCATATCGATATGTTGATGAATCAAGACCATTAACGTTAAGGATGCACTTGTTTCATTGCAGGCAGTATTCTGCTATTGGATGACCTCAAATCTATTTTCACTCTCATATGGATTATGTTAGTATATTTTGGTTTATTTCCTGCATAGGCATTCGTCTCCCGGTAAACATGTTTCACTTATAATCTTGTGCCTTCTTGTTTGTCAGTGGTTAAAAGACCCGCGGTTAAGAAGTTTCTTGGCGTTCCTATAATACCTGTCACTCCTAAATCTGAACAAAAGCCAGCACTCCCATTTTTCGAAACTCTCAAGAAATATGCTGCAGCACATAAACAAATAGCAGAACAACAGCACATGCAATCATCGTCTGCTGTGGCATCAGAACCTACAAGTCAAGGTTTATCATCGTCATCATCATCATCGTCATCACACTCTGTTCTTGGTCAAAGGATCGCAACCTTGGAGAAACAGGTAAAAAGAAGAAAGAACAACAAGAAGAGGCGATGAACACGCATTATTGAAAGTGAAAAATTGGTCAAGCAGATCGCTAGTTATTGGTTATTGATGGCGCGTATACGCAATTAAAAGTTATATTAGTCAAGATAATTGTTGCAGAAGCTCATTTTCTCCACAAAATTCATGATTCTTGAGAATTGTAGAGATTCATATAGATACACCATCAGAAACATAGTATTCTTTTTTTGTTTTGTTTCAGTTTTCATATGAATATAGGCATTCTACAAATGTTGTTTACTCACAAAAAATTTGTAATGATGACAAGAATATGTACTACAGCACAAGATGCATAGTTGCTGTAATAAACAACTCCATTTTTTAGTTTTTTTCCTTTTGCAGAGTTAGGATTTTCACTGTCTTGAAGATCGTTAGAATTTCGTATTGGAACTCGAAGAGAAAGGAGAACAATGTTATAATTTCCAAGTTCTCGATGTGTAAGTAAGTTGTATTTTGAATGTAAGGTTTCTTTATGAGCATGGTATTTGGATCAGCTTGTGCGTGGTACGTGTTATTCATGCTAATACATATACTGAATAACTCTATCTACTAATACTTGAAGGTACGTGTTATTCATGCTAATACATATACTGAATAACTCTATCTACTAATACTTGAAACTGACGAAAAATCATTGCTTTGGATGGAATTCAAATTGAACTTGGGACCTTACGGCTTTCGATTTACTTAATTGATCATTAAGTCACAATTTAACAGTACTCTTGATCGCTTTTAAATACGTAATTTATTAAACTAAATGTCCTTATATATGACTCAATTTCGAATATACCTGCTACAATTTAAAATAATGTACATACTTTTAAATTACAAATTTTTTTCGTTTACACCTCCTACAGGAATAGATTGAAAATAATTATTTATGTTTTCTTAGTGATATTACCTAATAGATGGTGTAAATGTAGAACTTTCATGATATAAAATATGTAAACATTTAATTTTAAAAATACATAAAGTGAAACTGAAATTGAATCAAATATAGAGTTAATAATATTAAATATCTATGTAATATATTGTTATTAACTCTATATTTGATTATCTTTAACATACTTAATTTATTACGAGTATAATGTAAAATATCTTTATATATAAAAGTATTAGCAATTTGATTCTAATGTTCAAAGTTATAGTCGTAACTAATCATATTATATGATATGAGTACATGCCTTAAATATAAGAGCTTGGTACGAGATCACATATTCGAACTATAAAAACAACTTCATGTAAAAATGTAAAAAATAAGATTGCATATAATAAATAATTTTAATATGAGAAATTTCATAAAACAAATAAACATGATGTATATAAAAGGTCACATGTTCGAAGCATAAATTAATAACCTTTATGTAAGAATAGAAAATAAGACTACGTACAAAATTTGATTATTCAAATTCCTAACGTAAAAATATATAAAAAGATAAAAATATATATAATAAACCTTGATATAGTATAATTTGTTAAAAAATTACATATAACGGGAGAGTTAGTGCATCGAATTCGACTTTTTATATAATGGTTTGGTACGTCAAAATAGTTTGCACTGCATGGAGGAATATTCTTATATTTTCTATATAATAATATACAGAGTTATATATTGCGCATAGAACACTGAAAATTTCTCCGTAAGACTCGTAATTCTGTTCTCAAAATTCATCAAAATTATGTATTAAGATTTAATCTGTTCATCTAAATTGCACTAATTAATCACTCGATTTGGCGAAATTAAACGTGAAAAGCTACAAAATATTGGTGATTTGTACGAAAATTGCACCTTTTTTTTCCCACTCGATTCGGTGAAAATCGAACGTGAAAATGTATTTATATTGACGATTTGTGCGATTTTTGAAATACAGAGGAATCGGAGATGGCGGAGAAATTCATCATCGAAGTGGAGCCGGCGAAGCCAGCGAAAGATGGAAAGCCGTCAGTCGGACCGGTTTATCGGAGTAAATTCGCGAAAGACGGTTTTCCACCGCCGATTGAAGGCTTAAACAGCTGTTGGGATATTTTCCGGTAAGATTTTTAGAAGGTGAAAATCAGATTATTTAATCGAGGAAATACATTTTTGGAAAAGAATTATTTTTGAGTTACCGCAATTTCTTTTGACTAAATTGCATGTGGATTTATTTCTTTTCGAAATAACTGTAGTGTTCGGGTCGGCTAACTTTTGGTGGATTTCAATTTGACTGATCTGATTTTAATATTTGCCTTTGTATTTATTGGATGAGTTAGCAAAGAGAAAAAGTGTAGTCTTTTAGCTTTTATATATATGTAATGAGTATTGCAAAATCTTCACTTTTACTAATTTTTGTAAGATAAGGTTTTCCCTTTGTCTCATATGGAGCCTAAGCTGTTGTTTTGACTCCTATATATGTATCTTTATAATAGTGGAGTGAAATATTACAGTAATAGTTAAAAAGCTAATATGATAAGAAAAATTTAACACAATGGTGTGGAACATTTCAGACATCTTAACATCAAAGAGTGTCTTATATATTGAGACAAAAGGGAATACTATGTCTGAACTTTTTGTTTTAGTTTTACAATAAAGGTGTAGTCTTTTTGTATTTTTGATGAGTAATGTGTAGTTCCCAGGTTGATTTTGACATTTTCTTTTTCCTTATTGCAAAATCTTTAGACCTCCTTTATTCAAGTAAAAGCTGCTATCTCCGCCCTTTGGCTGTTAATTATGTTCGCAAAAAACTTGCTTTCCAACACTAAATGGCAAATGTGGAGGGAAGTTGCAGTTGACACATCAAATACATCATACTGCCTTAAACATTACTCTATAAGACATACGTGTTGGATACTTTTTAACCAGAATTATCACTGAGTTCATGTTACCAGAAAACATGTATCAATGAAGTCATTGTCATTCTATCTATGCAACTTTACATGCACACAATGACTACTCTGTTAATCTCAGATATTATTTGCCAGTTTCCAAGAAAACCCTTAACAAAACTCTGCTTATGATACTTTTAATTGTGTGGTTTCCAGAGAGGCTGCTCAGAGTTATGGAACGCCTTCTACTCTTTCTTCAGTGAAATTGAGCTTTATTTATATAATACTCTTTTATTCAGAATAAAAGCTCATCCAAAATCTTGTCATTGTACTGAACTTGCATTAGCCTTGGCATGATGTAGCGTCGTTGTTAATGTTACTTTTAGTTGATGATGATGCTTACAAAAATTTACTTTCTAATATTAGAACTTAAAGATGTTTTCTTGTCCATGTCATAGTTTGTCAGTGGAGAAATATCCAAACAACCGAATGCTTGGCCACCGTAAGATTGTGGATGGGAAGGTATATTTTACTCAAGTCTTATGCATTAATTTCAACTTCGAGAAGGATTCTGTTTTCTGATTCAACTGCTGATTTTTGCATTTGTTTCTCTTATCTTCAGCCTGGGAAGTATGTGTGGAAGACTTACAAAGAAGTGTATGACATTGTCATAAAAGTAGGGAACTCCATCCGAAATTGTGGTGTAGAAAAAGTAAGTACTCATCTCTATATGGTATTATGCTGATAATTTGGCTGACAAGTGAACAATGCTAATGATAAAGTTTAATCATTGAATACCGTAGCAGTGTAGCTAGTGGAATTTAGCTTTTTGTTTATTGCCTAGTTCTAATAGGACTAGGAGCCAATTAAAAATCAATGTGCCCCTTACTCGAAGGTCTACTAATGCTCTCAAGAAATGGTAGGCATCTTCTAATGCACTTTTTCAGCACTTTGGTACATAAGTTTAGTTCCATGTTTAAATGTGGATTATCATCCTCCTTGGCTGTTCATTTTTCCCATCATTGAGGTATGTTTTTCTTATCCTTTTTGTAATTCATGTGTCTATTTGTCCTTCGTTTATTTTTTTAGTTTTACATGTTGATATATCCCCCTTGAGTATTCATTTCAATTAGTGGCTTACCTCCTGTTTATTTGATATCTTATGTTAGGGAGGGAAATGTGGTATTTTCGGTGCCAATTGTGCTGAGTGGATTATCAGCATGGAGGTATTGCTCGTTTCTGTTGCTTAATTTGTGTATGTCTGGAGTGTTTCATGTTATTTGTTATGTTTTTTTTTGTTAATTGTCTGGTCTCCATTGAGATCAAGTATCTATGACAAGGAAATTCTATTAGTGTGATTTTTCTTGTCACATATATTGGCACAGCTCGAGTTGCCCGATGACATGGATATATTTACTCATAGCATGATAATGTTTGGATTGGATGTCTACTTATCAGTTTCTCTTTCTAGCTATCTTTACAATTTTTGAAGATGCTAGTGATAAATTTTTGAAAGCTGAATGTCACATCCATTTTCCTCTCTTTCCTTAATACTAAGCTCATTTGAATGATCACTTGTCTTAACTTTTTTATAAGTTATTCAACCAGAGATCTTAATTGACATGAATAAACACCAGTTTTAAGCATTACTAAATACTTGGATAAGAACAAAGGTTTGGGACTCATTAACGGTTTCCACTTTTCCTCCCTTCAGATTTTTTACGAGTTGTGTACCTACTTCAACTTGTGGATTATTTCATGCTTCCTTTTGGTAATACTTTTTTATTAATCAATCTGGATTCTGGATCCCTCAATTTGTTAATTTCTATCACACATCTTTTAAACTATGTCAGTCCTCTTTGTTTCCATGCTTTCCCTTCATGCTCTAAAAATATCAGTATTCTGCCATAACAAGGATGACTTTTTGTTCTATGAAACAAAGAAACAGATCTCTGGACTACACCAGTACATCTATATTATTAAATTGCTTGAAATTTCTGCCACAATAGGGATGTCAGTTGATTTCTTTAAATAAAGTATGATATATTTGTACAAGTCCAATTCAATTTAAACTACCCGAGAAGGAAAAATAAACCCTCTCTCACTGCTCTTATTTCCAAGTTCACTTTCAGTTTATCTGGGTTTCATATATTTGTGATCCTATCTTCGCTTCTCACTCTCTATTTGTTTCTGTTTATAATATCTATTGTTTGCTTGTACAGATGTTAGAAATAAGACATCGTCTGCAATTCTTATTGTCTCTGATAGCAACTTATTAATGCAGGCATGCAATGCTCATGGACTTTACTGTGTCCCTCTGTACGACACCTTGGGTACGCATTTTCCTTTGTGCGAATAGTGGTTCCAGGCTCTCCTTGTGATAGAATTTGTTATCCTAGTGGTACTCTTAAAAATAATAGAAATGTCCTAGGCTCATTGTAATGTGATGCATGATGGTGGAGTTTGACTATCAAGAGGCTATCTCATTTACCAGTCATATGCCTTTTTATATTCAGTTTCTTTCTTAGAAGAAGGATTCTCATGCCAATGAAATAACTAATATTCAATAACTATCTTTATATGTCTTCAGGTGCTGGTGCAGTGGAATTTATCATTTCCCATGCAGAAGTTGCAATTGCTTTTGTTGAGGAGAAAAAAGTTCCCGAGGTATGCATTTCAGGAGTTAACTTTTAATAGACATATTAGATAAACTTCTCAAACATCATGTTCGGGATTCATTAAGCATGTTGATCTCCATTCTAGTTATACATGACTTTCTACTCAGGTCTCATTGATATATCAAGTGTATCATGTGTTTGAACTTCTATTCTGTTCTAAAAATGTGTAAATGTTTTAGACTTGGACATTATATTTTTAGAACTTTTGATTAGTATAAATTTTAGAAAAATATGTTCCAATAAATTGGATAATTGACAAGAGAAATTTCAAAAACAACTTTCCAAGAGATTGTTCGTTAAGAAGTTTACTAGTGTTAAATTTGGAGCTATGTTCTTGAACATTCAGGGGTGTGATTTTTACTAGAATTGTCTTTTATGCCTTTTCAGCTTTTGAAAACATTTCCAAATGCTGCAAAGTACTTGAAGAGTAAGTCGACTTTTTTTTTTTCCGGAAGTATGAAATTCCTCATGTTAATGGCAATTGTTTCCTGTTCTTTGTCAACAGCGGTTGTGAGTTTTGGGGAAGTGACTCCTCAACAAAAGGAGGAGATCGAAAAGTTTGGAGTGTCTCTTTATTCCTGGGATGAGTTTCTGCAAGTAGTAAGAGTTCTCTTTTCAACTTTTATCTTTCTGTTCAGATTTCTCTAATGGCTGTTTAAGGGTTACCAGTAGTGTGTAGTAATCTGCATGTGACTTCTAACTCGGGGCAAAAAGGGGAAATCAAGATCTTTGGATCCTGAGGAAAAGGAAAAGGAAGCTAGTGCAAATAGATTTACATGTTGACTTGCGACTGATTCCAATTTACACGATTTTGTTTAGTATTTCATCATTTCAGTTTTGGTATGTTTTCCTTCTCCCAGAATTGACCTCCAAATTCTTCTCCACATTTATTCTTGATGTTTCTATTATTAGATGTGGGGCTACTTATGTAATTGATAATTATTCTTGGTCTGTTGTTTCCAATAGTTTGGTGAAATTGTAGTAAGTTTAACACTTTTATTAAATGACCTGCTAAGAAGAACCTATATAGACTAGCTGGCAGTAAAATTGAACTTTTCCTTCCCCTGACTTTCATAGTAATGTTATCAGTATTCATGCATGATGGTTTTCCTAATCTCGGTCTTTCTGAATATCAACATATCAAATCCTTCTGCTCTGTTTTGAAGATGTGCAGTTTCGGCAATCGCCTTGACAGCAAGGTAAATGTGTTAAATCAAAAACTAGTCTAGATTTTCTTTCAATAGGTTAGTTGATCACTTCAGGAAGGTTCTGCTTGAGATGAAGTCAAAGGATGTTGCTTGGTTGGGAGACTCAAACATTAGTTTAGGACCTCTTATGGTTCATTCAGATTGCCTTGGTATAACACTTGCTCTGGATGATCTCTTATTCTATGTTCAATTTGTTTTTCTGCGTTCCTTCCAACTGGTGAATTATGCTTCTATTAATCGGATAAGACTAGGGACTTATGAAAAGCTAGTTAGATATCAGGTTCTAGCTTCACAATTTTCATGCTTCTGAAGAACCCTTCAGGGTGGCCCAACGGTTTGAGCTTGGGACTTCCATGTTGGAGGTCTTGAGTTCGAACCCCTTGCCAGCGAAAGCAAAGGGTTTGCCTTCTGGGTCGAGCTCATCGCACCGGCTTGCCTGGTGCGGGTTACCTCTCCTATGTGGTTTACGAGTTATTGCAAGGAGCGGGTTTTATACCCTGTGCGCACCCAAAGGGTAGGTGGCTGCGGGTTCCCCTTCTCATCATTATCTTTTCAAGTTTCTGCAGAAATTTCACCAAGAAGTTTGGGTGATTTTTGTTTGTGCATGCTTGTTAGTCATCCAGTTGACTCATCAATTTCATTTACTATCAAAATATTCATGTTTGGCTGTGCACTGGATCATAGAAAAATATGTGAAGAAATAGTCCCCTATGAGTTGGAGGATAGGAAATTAATTACTCCTTCTGTTTCAATTTGTTTTTCTTCATTCGACGCAGTACAAAGTCTAGAAAATAAAGAAGATTTTTGAATCTTGTGGTCTTAATGCAATGTACCAAAATGTCTTTTGAATGTTGTGGCCTTAAATATGTCGGGTTAGATATTGGGGGTAAAGAGTAATTAAATATAGAAACTGGGATTCTTTTTGAAACAGACTAAAAAGGAAAAAGGAAAAGCAAGACAAATAAACTGAAATAGAGAGATAAACTGAAATAGAGAGAGTATGTTATTACTAAGGCACAGGTTCTGGGTTGAAGTCTAGTTCCACACTTCCTAGTACTGCCATATGGTTGGCCTATATAGAGAATTTGTTCAATAAATGAGTAGGGGGCTTAGACACAAACTATGGACAAAGAAATGATTGTTTTTCTTAAAACTTTTTAGGCAACAAGAAGTTCATTCACTGGGAATATAATGATTGATGCACCACTCCCCTACATTTTTTTTGGACATCACATACTTATATAACCTTGATTATTCTTTAAGCTAACATCACACTTCTCAATATGTGCAGGGAAGCAAAAATCAGTATGATCTTCCACTGAAGGAGAAGACTGATATCTGTACAATAATGTATACCAGTGGAACAACCGGAGAACCCAAGGGTGTGATGATCTCAAATAATAGCATTGTTACTCTTATAGCTGGAGTGAAGCGGTTTCTTGAGAGTGTAAATGAGGCGGTGAGATATATCTTCTTTTTTAATTGCATGTGTTTTGGTAAAGCATACTGAGAGTTTTACTTTTGCTTAAAAAAATGTCTTTAAGTTTTATCTAACCTTTGTATTGCAGCTGACAATGAGTGATGTATATCTCTCATATCTCCCCTTGGCACATATCTTTGATCGGGCGATTGAAGAATGTTTCATTAGACATGGCGCCTCAATAGGATTTTGGCGAGGGGTAAGATTTCCAAATCTTTCATGAAATGTTGTAAGAGCTTATCTTATGCATTTCTTATCATGTTTGCAGGATGTCAAATTACTAACTGAAGACCTTGGAGAGCTGAAACCAACTGTCTTCTGTGCGGTACCTCGGGTATTAGACAGAATATATTCAGGTAATATCTTACCCTCCCGTACAATTGATTCATATAAAGTTTCAAACTTTTCCATCCAATCACTAATGTTGACCTCTTTTTCTAATGAAAATCTGTGTTCTACTGGAGTACCCATGTACTATAGATGTGACTTACGCAGGAAGTGTGTAGACATTAAATTAATAATAGAAGAGTTTTTTTCTCTATATAACAATCATGTCTGAGCCACATTTTGCGCACCTCGACTATGTCAGTGGATACATGCAACCTCCGTCAACAGAAGTATTTAGACAGATGCGAAAAGATCACCTAATGCCTTTCTCCTCTACTAGGATTTAAACTTTGGTTCAAGGGCTTGCGCCAACTTTATTGACCAATAAGCCATATCCTTAGATGTTCTTTCTACAACTTAACAGATCTCCACACATTAGCACAAGACATAAACTTAAGCTATGTTGTAGATTATGCTTATGGAAATGAAGGATGTCATGAAAAATATGAATCTTAGTAACACTTGTGCTCCAGATAGTAACTCTTGTAGAGGTTTGGAATTATCTTGCAGAAGTTGGTGTATTATGGCTTACAAAGTAATACAAACTATTCACTGTCACATTAAGGAGCTGAAAGATGCCACGAGTGGAGAAATAGTACCTAGATTCCGACGGATAAGAAGGAACCATCACAAGTATGGAAACAGTGGTAGCAGATACTAAGGAGTTTTCCATGGGCGTGGTTTATTAGCTATTTTCTTTAAGCTGGCACTTGTTTATTCCAATTATGGATGAGCTAACCCACATTATAAATGCTTAAGTCTCATGGCGTGTGCTATTTACAGACAATATCGAATAATTAATGAAACTACGGTGTCTACCAAAAGCTTGAATTATTGAGACACTATTTCAGGGTTTTAGTACAAGTAGAAGTAACACTGTAACACATAAATATGAAGTGCATTTTTCTTTAGTAATTTTACACCTATGGAAACATGTACTTTCTATAAATTATTTTGCCTGGTACAAGCCAATTCACTCCATTCTTGTTCCCTCAGATCTGAATATAAATCAGAACAAACCGATGTCCTAAGCTTGAGTCACTGCCACACCACCATAATTTCAATGTGCTAGACTTGAGAAAAAGAATCAGATCCCCACTCAATGAAGTGTATGTAGTTATATAATAAGCACATAACAATCTTATTTTATCTAACTGTTTAAACTTTTAGATAAGGTTATTCACGCAATAATAAGGATACAATCATCTTCTGTTAGAGACAATAAGATGTGGGATTTACTGTTGTTCTCTGTGGAATTTGCTTCTTTCTCTCAGTATGCTTTTGACTTTGTGCACCTTGAGTCTTAAAATTCTTGGTCATTTGACTAATTGCCACAAGCATTCTCAGGTTTGCAACAGAAAATTTCTTCAGGGGGTCGGCTAAGAAGCACGTTGTTCAATATTGCATATGCTCGGTAAGTTCTGTTCCATATTTCTCAAAGATATGACAATTTTTTTGGTCAATGCAAACATCAGTATTTTGAACTCGGTGTTTGAGCTTTGAAGTGCTTCAGTTGTCTTAATGATGATCTGTTGCCAGGGAAGGCACTGTATCTATGGTTGGAAAAAGATGCATCTGATGGTGGTCCCTTTTGATTTTTGGAAATACTATTTTACTTGTCTGGCATAATATATGTGTTTCACATTGTTAAATTTATACCTGTACTCTTATACAATTCTAGCACTTTCTGTGCTACTTCTAAATGTAGAGATTAGTTCTGTGAGTCAATACAAGCTTTTTCATTTTTGAATTGGTTTTCCATAGAAGTGCAATTGGTTGCATTCTGTATATTTGAGAAGAAATTCGGTCCCAGTTTTTGGTTTAATATGAATACTGGAACTCATTTGAGGCATTTTCTTTTGGAGCCTTTACCTTACCTACATTTTTAATTCCGCAGAAAACTTCAATATTTGAAGGATGGGTGTAAATATCACGAAGCATCTCCAATATCTGACAAAGTTGTTTTTAGTAAGGTGGTGTCGATACTCTTGCAGCAGCTAATACATCTTCTAAATTTGCTTCCTGTCGTACCACTAAATATGAAACTTTGGTTGCTTTTTGCTGATTTCTTAGGTAAGAGATGGTCTAGGAGGAAAAGTACGTCTTATATTATCTGGAGCAGCACCCCTCTCTTCTCATGTAGAAGCTTTTCTGCGAGTTGTAGCATGTGCTCATGTTCTTCAGGGATATGGTATTTTATTCAAATCCTCACATCAATTCCATCTATGGTGTTAAACTTATTGTCTTACTCCATCCCAAAAAAGATCAACAAGCTATTTGCTTTTTTATTTTTTGTAAAAGGATGTGATTATTCTCATGGTTTATAATCTAGTCATAAGTGACACCAGTAGTTGTTCTGTCCAAGTGTTTACTATAGCTGAAGTAACCTTTTAAACTATCCAGCAGAAAAGCTTTTATTGTAGTTTTACAGAAAGAGATCTAGCATGGTAATTTAAGCTTTCTGCTTGAATTGTTCTGAGATTTGGCATTTCTGTAGCTTCTATTCTATGAGGAGTAATTTATTGACATTTGGCAAGTACTGGGACTTGGCAGAAGTTATGAGTTCATTCTCAGTTTTGACCATGTTGCAATGACTCTTCACTTTTGATGCCGCACCTGTGTAGGATTCTCCAAAACAACACTACTTATAGAGAATTTAATATGCACCCATTGACAATTATGAAGAGTCCGAGCAACATAACTGACCAGAGACTTCTCTAAGCCTACATTTATTACCATAGATGGTATTAATAAATGAATTTGGCATCATCTCTCCGTAGACCCAACATGTTATGTTCAATTGAAAATTAAAATAAGTGATGTTAGTTTCCCTAGGATATAAAACTTAAACTTTCCTCTCAAATTTCCTCTGCACTCATCTGTTAGCATAATGTTAACTTAGCTGAAATTTGATGCATACTTTTGTCAGTATTGAGAAATTGTTGGCTTTTATGTTTTGCACGAATAACGTGTGTTGGACATTGGGTGGTCTTGGGTTCATTCCATGTGGGCTGACTAGACCCAGTTTTGAAAGATATAAGATAAAATTTAACTCCCTCTGTAAAGTCGAGGAAATAATTTAAATGGTGTTTATAACCATTCGATGTGACAAACAATTTTAAGTAAATTACTTAAGGTATATGGTTGGATAGACTTTTTGAAAAGTTCTAAGTCAATATTTGGCAGTTTTCTTTTTTATTTTTTGTGAGAAAAGGGTAACTTTATATTTGATAGTTTTCTTTGTAGTATGTGCAGTTTGAATCTCAAAACTTTCTGAAGCAATAATGAAGTGTTATTGGTTGCCAAGTAGATTTATGGTCCTGGTTAGAGAAGTCATTTGTTGCTAAGATTTGGACATAAGAACATAACTCATCTTGCAAACCGTTTTTGAACATAATAAGCAACTTTGGATTAAATTATTGTGATACGTATACATTTAGCTGTCATTTTATGTCTATACTGTAATTTTATTTTAGATTTTTAAAATATGGATGAGAAATTCTTTGGTTGCTTTATATTGCCTAAGTAATTGGATTGCTGTTCCTGATTATTTGCTAGTGCGTGTTCTTGCCAAAGCTGACGGTTCAGCATTTTACTTTTAGGTCTTACTGAAACATGTGCTGGTACATTTGTATCACTACCTAACCAGTTTGATATGCTTGGTACGGTTGGTCCTCCGGTGCCCAATGTGGATGTGTGCTTGGTGTCCGTTCCTGAAATGGAATATGATGCTCTTTCAAGCACACCACGTGGAGAAATATGTGTGAGGGGAGACACTCTGTTTTCTGGTTATTACAAGCGTGAGGATCTGACAAAAGAAGTCTTGATTGATGGATGGTTCCATACAGGTTTTTCTGGAAAAAGAAATTGCTTGAACTGATAACTGTCCCACTTGTTAAAATTTTTTATTGAACTTGTCTCCAAAAATCTTGTCAGGGGATATTGGTGAGTGGCAACCAAATGGTAGCTTGAAGATAATTGATCGCATGAAGAATATTTTCAAGCTATCACAAGGAGAATATGTTGCAGTCGAAAATTTGGAGAATGTATTTGGCAATAATCCTGTTATTGAATCGGTAAGCAATCCCAATTAGGTGCATTGGCCTCTTAACTATAGTAACTTGGTGACTTCATGAGTGCAATTTACTTTCTGAACAAATAAGGTAGAAATTTTCCATCTGCTGTGTTCACTGCCTATGATCTATCTGTGTGAACACTATGCTTTTAAAACAAAGAAGCATTATTCATTTCAAAATCTCATTCTTTAATGTTTAATTAATTTTGTAATAATGAGATGGAATGCATATGTAATTTTGGGCCAACCTTCACTCTGTTCATGGTTAGCCGTGCTCACTATAAATGTTTGATAGAATGTTTTTGGGCATAATACAACGGATATTTTATAAAGAATAGAGCATATCGGTAAACCTGTTTATTATTTGAATGTTCTATAGAGATAGAAGCCTTCATCTTCTCTAGTTAGTCGAATTTGTTGAGCCTCTTCAGCTCATGCTGCATCTCATCTTGGTTGACAAACTTTTGAAGGGTCGATTGGCTCTGAACAGCGCTAGCTGCATTATTGGTTCTCTAGGATTAGATAATATGGTCTAGTAGTAACACAGTTATATCCACTTTACACTCTAATTCTCAGTTTTTTCTTCTTGATTGGCTTCAGGTATGGGTATATGGGAGCAGCTTTGAGTCTTTCCTTGTTGCTGTTGTTAATCCAAGTAAACAACAGGTTGAAAAATGGGCCAAACAGAATAGCCTCTCAGGGGATTTTAATTCCCTCTGTGAAAATTCAAAGGTGAAAGAGCACATATTAGGGGAGCTCACAAAAGTTGGAAAAGAAAAGAAGGTTAGTTTCTCTTCGGCCTCCGTGACTGTTTTTCATAATTTTATGTTTTGCTAACATGACTTATTTTCTTTGCAGCTGAAGGGATTTGAGTTCATAAAAGCTCTACACCTTGATCCAGTTCCATTTGACATGGAACGTGACCTCCTGACTCCAACATTTAAGAAGAAAAGACCACAATTGCTTAAATACTACAAGGTAAATTCTCTTTGATCAAGATAGGTCCTTTATCAAGACAACTCCAACTTGTTGGGGACTAAAGCTTAGTTTTTGGTGTTCTTGGTCCACATCCAATCCATTTTCTCTTTTGTCTTCCTCTTATTTAACTACTATTATATTGTCTATTACGGGGAAAGCAGTATGTTGCATGCTTCTTCGCCTAGCTAACAATATTATTTTAATGGATACAAGAGGAGTAGACATATGACCAATGATCTTGTGTTCTTTAGTCTGTTGTTGACATCTACTGTTAAAATGTACCTCAGTGGTTGAGAGAACAGGTGATTTTCTCGGTTTTGGGCATTCCTCACCATGTGAACTAACTTTTGAAGTTGAGTTAGACCCTAGGTCCTCGTCTTCTCGTGGACTACTCAAAGACTAGTTCATGTTTATGAGCATAAATATTGGTTATTTAGTTCATAGCATGATCAATAATCCACAATGCCCAAGATTGTTCTTAATTTTCTTGGTTATATTTAGAAGGAATTTGTCTAGAAAGACTTAACCTAGCGAGGATCCATATAGACGATCATAACCTGTTTAGTCCTGAGGCATAAATGTGATTATGTTATTGGTATATCATTCTGTGTGCACTCAGTTTATGAAATTCACATTACGAAAATACATTTCATAAGCTGTTTTTGTGTACATGTTCTTTTCTGATTTGATTCAACTTTGTGCAGGACGTGATTGACACCATGTACAAGGATGCTAAATGAACTTGCAATGCTTAAAAATAGCACCTTTTTTTTTCTAACTAAACTTCCTCTTTTTATGTTTTTTTGTTTTAGTGTTGTACATAGCACACTCAAACAAATATAAGATTGTTTTATTCAAAACTGGATCAGACCCTGTAATACATGGGAATGCTATTTCTGAACACATTGCATTATGTAACTAGATTATGTTATTGCACAAACCAATTCAAGAATCCTATCTTGGTTCTCAACAATAATGAGTTTGTATTAGTTTTTGAATAATTGAGTATATAACTACATATATATGAGGTAAATTCCTTTACTACATCAACCATCAGGTAAAATTGATCACATTTCAACTTCAATAAATAAGAAGTTAGCTTGAAGTTTCAATTCCACAAACCCCAACATATTTGATATGAAGTTTCACTTGTGGAAGTAAAAATTTCATGATTGTAACTATTCTTTGAAAACAAGTGTCACGGACATAGAGTCTTACTAACGTTCCGTGCAGTACTTGACAATTTACTCACTATTATTTCAAGGTATTGTAAGCAAGGACTTTTGTATTGCAACTGAATAACACCTCTATTTATACTACTATCTAGGGGTTAACACGCAATTTAAAATTACTTTACAAGTTTCTAAAGTACTTGCACTTTGATTCGTATCTAGAATTCTCATACACGTTCTAGGACTTTCTAACGGCATCTAGAGTTCTCTATAAACCTCTCCACAACTCTAAACTCTTCCCCCTTATCTGGATGCAAAATTTAATTGACGTGACGGATTATGACACAAATGCCAAAAAAGTGACCATGCAAAGAACTCTTGGGTTGTGTCGAGAATTCATTGTACATAAAAATGTAAACTTTATATACATATTGTAAATTTTTGGCCAAGGGAATTCAAATCAAGTCACTGCTCTCCTTTTAACTCCGCCTTTATCATAAGCAATTAAGTATTATTTTCATTCTGAATCAGATATCTCAAATTCAAACCATAGAAATGTAGTTCAGTTTTAGTAGTGAATGTTTTGCTTCTGAAGTAGAACTTTTTAGATAAATTCAAATTATCCAAGCCTAAACAAAAATTCAGACTTAAGATGAAAACCAACAAAAAGAACATTCCTTAATTAATCTAATCACTTTAATACATTAAATTAGAATTGAGTAGCCACTAAGTATACGTTTTGTAAATACAAGAATTTGGAGTGGCAAAAATGTCTGCAAATAATTTAAAACGTCAGTTTCAAAATCCAGAAAATGAAAATATTTGTCAAACCGACCTTTATTTTTTTCTTTAGGTCCAAAATTTACCTTTTTCCAAAATTATTCCACGAAGAATTGACAACTCATTTACATTAAAATAATAAATAGTGAGTTAGTGACCCTTTGAGTCCTTCACAAGACAATTTAATCAATAGTTATCCTTTCTATATTATAATCCAATAGCAATACAAAAAAACAATTTGAAATTTAATAAATAATATTTTTTTTTTCATTTGAGTTTGACTAGACATAAATTTCAAATAAGAAATTGTAGAATTTTGTAGTTTTCTACAAGCCTATCGAAGACATAGTTAAATAAATAACCTTATATAATAACTTTTCTTTTGAAAAGAAAATAGATTAAAATATTGCAAAAACACATTTGTCCCTCGGTTGATGAACATAAACTCCTCAGTGATTTTTCGCAGCAACTCTATTAGATTACGATGAATAATTTCTTATTTTAAAGACCCTTCAATCATCAATAAAGGAAGAATTCTTTTTTAAAGAGGATGTTATGTGATATAAATTTAGATTAGTCAAGATTTTAAAACGAGTTCATAACAAATAAATAAATAAAAATTTAGGAAAATCTTGAAGAAAATGTGAGCTCGGAGCTTAAAGAGTATAAAATATTAACAAAAATTTTAAAATGATATATAAATTTTACATTAACCAAAACGGTAAAATCGCTGGAACAACAGCGATTTACTCCACCGAAAAAATAAAATTGCAGCGATTTTGCAAAATGTGATTTT